AAAAGTACGACCATCTGTCCGCCAACTGAAGCTCTGCAGAGGATGGGTGATGCAACAGGACAATTACCCAAAGCATACAAGTAATTCAACAAAACAAGGGCTGCAACAGCACAGAATATGCCTTCTGGAGTGGCCCAGTCAGAGTCCTGACCTCAACCCGATTGAAATGCTGTGGCATGACCTTAAGAGAGCAATTCACACCAGACATCCCAAGAATATTGCTACACTGAAACAGTTTTGTGAAGAGGAGTGGTCCACAATTACTCCAGATCGTTGTGCAGGTCTGATCTGCAACTACAGGAAACGTTTGGTTGAGGTTATTGCTGCCAAAGGAGGGTCAACCAGTTATTAAGTCCAAAGGTTCACATACTTTTTCCTCCCTGCACTGTGAATGTTTACATGTTATGTGCAATTAAACCATGGCAACATCTAATGTTTGTGTAGTATTATGTTCAGCAGACTGTGTTCTTCTATTGTTGTGACTTAGATGACGTTCAGAGCACATTTTAGGCCCAATTCATGCAAAACTCCACGTAATCCCAAGGGGTTCACATACTTTTTCTTGCAACTGTATATACACTATATTGCCCCAAGTATTGTCCTCGTCCCCCCCGTATATACACTATATTGCCCCAAGTATTGGTCACCTGCCTTTCCATGCACATGAACTTTAACCTCCCTGGCGGTATGATTATTTCAGATTTTTGGTGCTGAAAGCGGTACCATTTTTTTGCATGGAAATATGTATTTTTTTTATTGTAGGCTGTAATTTTTAGGAAAAACTCACTGAAATCTGTCCGAACAAGAGTCTAGTAAACATCCCGGGTATGATAAAATTTGAAACACAAAATCATAAATTATAATTTAATAAATAATCATAAAAATAATATAAAAATAATAAAAAATTTAATTCAATAATATAATCAAACCAAAAACACTGAAATGTGAAATATAGCGCCAAGTTCGCACATCTCTGAGCAAAGTTGCAAATTCGTTTTCAGTGTCTGATGACGAATTTCCCCCACGAATCATTATCACTCAATTCTGCAAGTGGTTCTGATTTACTATCGCTGTTCTCTAGCTGATCTAAACCGCTTTTGACCTAAAGGGACACTTTTTGGACGCCATGGACATTTCTCAGTTTCCAGGCAGAAAGAACAGACAAAATGCAGGCAGGGCACAGGACAAAGCACTAGGGACAATATGTATGTGAAATAGGTTGAAACAGCAATGTTTTACTATGAAAAATGTAAAAAAAAAAAAATGACATTTTTTAAAATTTTTAAATTTCCCGCCGCCGCCGGCGGCGGCGGCGCCCCGTATGTCCCGACGTCACAGGGACAGGACACAGAAGCCGGATGCCGGCATCGGCCGGAGGAGATGGCCGGGGACGCTGCAGGGGACACATCGTGGGAGCGCAGGGTAAGGTAAGTGAAGACAACATGCCGGAGCAGTGCCGCAGGGTAAGCCCGAGTGTAGCTCGGGGTTACCGCTTTTGGTACTGAAATGTTACCCCGAGCTACACTCGGGAATACCGTCAAGGAGGTTAATGGCCCCCCAGTCTTAGTCCGTAAATTTCCACTGCATCTGACGCTTTGTATTGCACTTAGTGATGGAAGGCTTGGATGCAGCAGCTCGGCCATGGAACACAGGAATATCAGAGGATTATATATACAGGAACATCAGAGTATTATATATACGGGAACACTCTTCCAGGGACAGGAAGATCAGAGGATTATATACAGGAACTCTCTTCCAGGGACAGGGAAATCAGAGGATTATATATACAGGAACACTCTTCCAGGGACAGGGAGATCAGAGGATTATATATACAGGAACACTCTTCCAGGGACAGGGATATCAGAGGATGATATATACAGGAACACTCTTCCAGGGACAGGGATATCAAAGGATGATATATACAGGAACACTCTTCCAGGGACGGGGATATCAGAGGATTATATACAAGAACACTCTTCCAGGGACGGGGATATCAGAGGATTATATATACAGGAACACTCTTCCAGGGACGGGGATATCAGAGGATTATATACAAGAACACTCTTCCAGGGACAGGGAGATCAGAGGTTTAAACATACAGGAACACTCTTCCAGGGACAGGGATATCAGAGGATTATACATACAGGAACACTTTTCCAGGGACATGGATATCAGAGGATTATATATACGGGAACACTCTTCCAGGGACAGGGAGATCAGAGGATTATACATACGGGAACACTCTTCCAGGGACAGGGATATCAGAGGATTATATATACAGGAACACTCTTCCAGGGACAGGTATATCAGAGGATTATACATACAGGAACACTCTTCCAGGGACAGAGATTCTTTAGTTTGCATTGGAAGCTTTAGAGAGTTTCTACACTTCTCAGAATCGGGTTTATTAATGAAAAGGTCCAAATGGTGCAAATAAAACATTTACAGAATGGGATGTTACAAAGACATAAAGAGAACAATAATGCAAGAGAGAGATAAAAGTTGGTTAGAATGGAGGGTAAAAGTTCTGGTTTTAGCTGAGTCCAATTGTCCGAGCAAAACCAGTGCCGTGGCTCTCTTGGGTGTTCCTTGGTTGATGGTAAAACGAGAGCTTCCTTACCAGGTCCTGTCAGTCCCTTTTCTGTGATATCAAAGGGGTGTTGCCCCGAGAACAACTCAGAGAGCAATCATCCGGTTTAGGGGATGGGTGCTAAGAGGTCACCAAGGCCGGTCATGCTCCAAAAACACCATGGCGATGGGGCTGAGATGGTCGGAAACTTTGTGGACTGGTCATGCTCCTAGAACTCCATGGCGATGGGGGTGAGACGGTCGGAAGCCGTGTGGGGCGGTCATGCTCCTAGAACACCATGGGAATGGGCTGAGATGGTCGGAAGCCATGTGGGTCGGTCATGCTCCTAGAACACCATAGTGATACCATAGTGATGGGGCTGAGATGGTCAGAAGTCGTGTGGGCCGGTCATCATGCTCCCATAAAACCATGGTGATGGGGCTGAGATGATCGGAAGCCATGTGGGCCGGTCATGCTCCTAGAAAACCATGGGAATGGTCTGAGATGGTCGGACGCCGTGTGGGCTGGTCATGCTCCTAGAACACCATGGGAATGGTCTGAGATGGTCGGAAGCCGTGTGGGCCGGTCATGCTCCTAGAACACCATAGGAATGGGCTGAGATGGTCAGAAGCCATGTGGGCCGGTCATGCTCCTAGAACACCATGGCAACGGGGCTGAGATGGTCAGAAGTTGTGTGGACCGGTAATGCTTCTAGAACACCACGGTGATGGGGCTGAGTTGATCAGAAGCCGTGTGGGGCGGTCATGCTTATAGAACACCATGGTGATGGGGCTGAGATGGTCGAAGTCATGTGGGTTGGTCATGCTCCTATAACACCATAGTGACGGGGCTGAGATGGTCAGAAGTTGTGTGGGCCTGTCATGCTCTTAGAACACCATGGCATGGGGCTGAGATCAACGGAAGCTGTGTGGGCCGGTCATGCTCCTATAACACCATGGTAATGGGACTGATATGGTCAGAAGTCGTGTGGGCCGGTCATGCTCCTAGAACACCATGGGAATGGGCTGAGATGGTCAGAAGTCGTGTAGGCCAGTCATGCTCCTAGAACACCATGGCGATGGGGCTGAGATGGTCGGAAGCCATGTGGGCCGGTCATGCTCCTAGAACACCATGGCAACGGGGCTGAAATGGTCAGAAGTTGTGTGGGCCGGTCATGCTCCTATAACACCATGGTGATAAGACTGAGATGGTCAGAAGTTGTGTGGGCCGGTCATGCTCCTAGAACACCATGGCATGGGGCTGAGATGATCGGAAGCCGTGTGGGCCAGTCATGCTCTTAGAACACCATGGGAATGAGCTGAGATGGTCGGAAGCCGTGTGGGCTGGTCATGCTCCTAGAACACCATGGCGATGGGGCTCAGATGGTCGGAAGCCGCGTGAGCCGGTCATGCTCCTAGAACACCATGGTGATGGGGCTCAGATGGTTGGAAGCCGTGTGAGCTGGTCATGCTCCTAGAAGACCATGGTGATGGGGCTCAGATATTCGGAAGTCATGTGGGCCGGTCATGCTTCTAGAACCCCATGGCGATGGGGCTGAGATGGTTGGAAGCTTTGTGGGCCGGTTATGCTCCTAGAACACCATGGTGATAGGGCTCAGATGGTTGGAAGTCATGTGGGTTGGTCATGCTTCTAGAACACTATGGCACTGGGGTTGAGATGGTCGGAAGCCGTGTGGGCCGGTCATGCTCCTAGAACACCATGGGAATGGGCTGAGATCATCAGAAGTTTTGTGGGCCGGTCATGCTCCTAGAACACCATGGCGATGAGGCTCAGATGGTCAGAATCCGTGTGGGCCAGTCATGCTTCTAGAACACCATGGGAATGGGCTGAAATGGTCAGAAGCCGTGTGGGGCGGTCATGCTCCTAGAACACCATGGCGATGGGGCTGAGATGGTGGTCAGAAGCCATGTGGGCCGGTCATGCTCCTAGAACACCATGAGAATGGGCCAAGATGGTCGGACGCTTTGTGGGCCAGTCATGCTCCTAGAACACCATGGTGATGGGGCTGAGATGGGCACCAACAATGTGGGCCAGTCATGCTCCTAGAACACCATGGTGATTGGGCTGAAACGGTCGGAAGCCGTGTGGGCCGGTCATGCTCCTAGAACACCATGGTGATGGGGCTCAGATGGTCGGAAGTCATGTGGGTTGGTCATGCTCCTAGAACACCATGGGAATAGGCCGAGATAGTCAGAAGCTTTGTGGGCCAGTCATGCTCCTAGAACATCATGAAGATAGGGCTGAGATAGTCAGAAACTGTGTGGGCCGGTCATGCTCTTAGAACACCATGGTGATGGGGCTGAGATGGTCAGAAGCCGTGGGGGGCAGTCATGCTCCTAGAACACCATGGCATGGAGCTGAGATGTTTGAAAATATGGGACTTCTGTGAAAAAGATTTCCCGCACTCAGATCAGAAATTAGACTTTTCACCTGCATGAGATCTCAGATGTCTGCTAAAATCGTACTTTTGTGGAAAACATTTCCCGCACTCAGGACAGGAATACGGTTTCTCCCCTGTGTGATATCTCTGATGTTGCGACAGATGGGACTTTACTGAAAAACATTTCCCGCACTCAAGACAGGAATATGGCTTTTCCCCAGTGTGTAATCTCTGATGTTTGTAAAGATTGGACTTCTGCGAAAAACATTTCCCGCACTCAAGACAGGAATACGGCTTTTCCCCCGTGTGCAGTTTCTGATGAGTGTACAGATTGGACGTCTTTGAAAAACACTTCCCACACTCAGAACAGGAATACGGCTTTTCGCCCGTGTGAGATCTCTGATGTGTGTAAAGATGAGAGTTCTGTGAAAAGCATTTCCCACACTCAGGACAGGAATACGGCTTCTCTCCCGTATGCAATCTATGATGTTTGTAAAGACTGGCCTTTTCTGAAAAACATTTCCCGCACTCAGGGCAGGAATACGGCTTTTCACCTGTGTGAGACCTTTGGTGTTTGTTGAGATTGGATTTCCTTGAAAAACATTTCCCGCACTCAAGACAGAAATATGGTTTTTTCCCCCGTGTGACATCTCTGATGTGTGACAAGTTTTGATTTTTTTAAAAAACATTTCCCGCACTCAGGACAGGAATACAGCTTCTCACCCGTGTGAAATCTCTGATGATTATATAGATCAGACAAGTTTGAAAAACATTTCCCGCACTCAGCACAGGAATACGGCTTCTCAGTCATATGAGACTTCTGATGTATGATAAGATTGGACTTCTGGGAAAAAATTTTTCCCGCACTCAGAGCAGGAATACGGCTTCTCACCCGTGTGATACCTCTGATGTATGACAAGTACTGATTTTTGTGCAAAACATTTTCCGCACTCAGGACAGGAATACGGCTTCTCTCCTGTGTGAGACCTCTGGTGTCTGTTGAGATCGGATTTCCCCGAAAAACATTTCCCGCACTCAGGACAGGGATACGGCTTCTCCCCTGTGTGAGACCTCTGGTGTCTTTTCAGATCAGATTTCCCTGAAAAACATTTCCCGCACTCAGAACAGAAATATGGTTTTTCCCCCGTGTGAGATCTCTGGTGTCTGTAAAGATGGGACTTAATTGAAAAACATTTCCCGCACTCATGACAAGAAAACGGCTTCTCTCCCGTGTGAAATCTCTGATGATTATAAAAATCGTACTTTTTTGAAAAACATTTCCCGCACTCAGTACAGCGGAAGCTCTTCCCTGTTGGAAGGCCGGCCCTGTCCCGCTCAGTCTGAGGTTCCTCAGGATACGAGGAATGCGATGGTCCATATACACTGAGTGGTGCCGCATGGAGATTGGAGGGAGCCGTGTTTTCTCCTGGACTACACTGTGTGATGTCCTCATCTTCTACTTTCCAGTCTGAAGTCAAAGTGAGACAATCCTCGGAGGTTTTCCTCATCTCCCGGCCATGGACTAAAATACAAAGACAAAGAGGATTACTAGACAGGAGCTGATTGGTTCCCCAAACCAGGACTCCGCCCACATCAGGCAGCTTGGTCTCTGAGGAGCTTACAAGCTGAATGGTTCCTCTTGAGCTCCAGGCTCTTGTCAGACAGAGAGAGATCCAATGAGAACTTTATCATCTGGACCAATCAGTGAGCAGTATGGGTGGAGGAATGGATTTAGTGTTCATGACCCACCTGTGTTGATCTCTGTAGGAGTGTCCTCCTCTATAAATGTCCCCGTTATTCCATCCTCCTCCATAGACTGCTGATCATCCCTCACATACGCCTCTTCTTCTGATTTCACCTCAAATTCTGTATCGATTGGATCTCCACTCTACATCAAGAGAAGGAGAAAAAATATCATCTGTAAGGTCTATAGATCTTCTCCATGATCTCACTCCACGGTGCTCTGTCCCACCTACCTGATGATGGTGAGGGACGGTGTGACCTTCCTGTGTGGAATCCCGGGAATACAGAGGATGGGGACATCTCTCTGGTGGGTTCCTGGTATTAGGTGGCTCCATCATATCCTTGTGTCCTGAAAACTCCACCATCACTCCATACTCCTCATCCTCCTCTTTATACTCTTCTTTAACATCAATATTATCATCCCCGAGGATTCCACTCTGAAAGATATAATAAAACATTAATTGTAACAAACATGCTGTGTATAAATCACAACTACCAGTGATTGTTCCTCATCTACCTGATGATGGTGAGGGATGGTGTGACCTTCCTGTGTGGAATCCCGGGAATACAGAGGACGGGGACATCTCTCTGGTGGGTTCTCATGACTGGATCCATCTACCTGATGATGGTGAGGGATGGTGTGACCTTCCTGTGTGGAATCCTGGGAATACAGAGGACGGGGACATCTCTCTGGTGGGTTCCCATGACTGGATCCATCTACCTGATGATGTTGAGGGATGGTGTGACCTTCCTGTGTGGAATCCCGGGAATACAGAAGACGGGGACATCTCTCTGGTGGGTTCCTGTAGCTGGATGACTCCACCATGGTGTCCTGGGCCAGATCTTTGTGTCCTTCTGGAATCTCTGACTCCTCCATCCCCCCATCATCCTCCTCCTCTTTTATCTCTTCTTTAACCTCAACTGTAGAATCTCTCAGGTTTCCACTCTGAATATATAATAAAATGCCATCAATGGTAACAATGCAGATAATGTACAGATCCTAATGATACGATCAGTGATTGTTCCTCATCTACCTGATGATGGTGAGGGATGGTGTGACCTTCCTGTGTGGAATTCCAGGAATACAGAGGGCGGGGACATCCCTCTGGTGGGTTCCTGGTATTTGGTGGCTCCATCATATCCTTGTGTCCTTCTGAAAACTCCTCCATCACTCCATACTCCTCATCCTCCTCTTTATACTCTTCTTTAACATCAATATTTTCATCCCCAAGGATTCCACTCTGAGTACTCTGAATGTAAATTGAAACATTCATTGTAACAAACATGCCATGTATACATTATAACCACCAGTGATTGTTCCTCAAATACCTGATGATGGTGAGGGATGGTGTGACCTTGCTGTGTGGAATCCCGGTAATACAGAGGACGGGGACATCTCTCTAGTGGGTTCCCATGACTGGATCCATCTACCTGATGATGGTGAGGGATGGTGTGACCTTCCTGTGTGGAATCCCCGGAATACAGAGTACAGGGACATCTCTCTGGTGGGTTCCCATGACTGGATCCATCTGTAGGAAACACACACACTGACTGAATACATTGTTTCTATGTGTTTATCAGATGATGGGGGATCTAGGTGGATCCTCCGTACTGCTCTCTCCTTTCCAATAAAGTCTCCTCTTACCCGGTGATGTGAGGGGCGGCTGATTGTCCATCATGACGTCCTTGTAGAGGTCCTTGTGTCCTTCTAAATACTCCCACTCCTCCATGGAAAAATAGAGACACCCTGACACCTTATAGGAACCTGACACACACAAATGATACAGTGACCATCCAGACACATCTCTTGGGTTGAACCTTCACAGACATCAGGAATAGTTATTTCCTCCTCATTATTACTACATAAAACATATAAAATAAAAAATTTGGATTTTAAAGCCACCTCTAATTAAAACCCTCATCCCGTAATATCATGGAGTCAGGCAGTATAGACTGAGGAGGTGAGAAGGTGATTGGTGGGAAGGTGACATCTCCACAATGAGGAGAATGTTCCGGCCCTGGAAGTGGGGGAATGTTCTGCCCCAGAAGGGGTTAATCTGGATTCCCACACTATATATGTGTGTATCATCATCTGCTGGCGATAAAAGACGTCACAATGACTATGGAGGAAGAGTGGGAGGAGAGGACGGACGCGACGGTGGGAGGAGAGGACGGACGCGACTGTGGGAGGAGAGGACGGACGCGACTGTGGGAGGAGAGGACGGACGCGACGGTGGGAGAAAAGGACGGACGCGACGGTGGGGGAGAGGACGGGCGCGACGGTGGGGGGGAGAGAGGACGGGCGCGACGGTGGGGGAAGAGGACGGGCGCGACGGTGGGGGAAGAGGACGGGCGCGACGGTGGGGGAAGAGGACGGGCGCGACGGTGGGGGAAGAGGACGGGCACGACGGTGGGGGAAGAGGACGGGCGCGACGACGGAGGGGGAAGAGGACGGACGTGATGGAGGGGGAAGAGGACAGATATGACGGGGGGTTACTGGGTGTAAACAGAAAATAAGAACTTATTACCTTCTCTGCTGCCACTCCTACCAATGTCTCTGTGCCTCATGGAACGTCCTCTCTGTACCTGACATCATTTCCTGTCTGTCCTGACATCACTTCCTGTCTTCCATAGTTACTTACTGTCTGGGTAGAAGTGAGATCCCCACCTTGTGGAGCTCAGAGGAACTGCAGCCCCGAGAACCATCTGGTAGTGTGACCCCAGCCTTGTGCTGGGTGTGTATGGACTGTATGTTCTCATAGAGGGGTCACCTCCACTCCCATCAAGGGGGACAGAAATATATGACAGCCTAGTCCAGCCTTTCTCAGCCAGGGGTCCTCCAAAGGGTTCTAGGGATTCCTCCAAAGGGTTCTGGGGGTTCCTCCAAAGGGTTCTAGGGGGTCCTTCAGCAATGAACAATTTCTGTCTCTCAGTAACAACTGACATCAATGATCTGTAAGGGGGGCAGTCTTCCCACTGATGACCATGTAAGAGTGTCCTTCCCCCACTGATATAAGGGGGCACTGTCAGGGCTCTGTCACCGACAGAGGTGTTAGGAGACCTGGCACCCCTGCCAGTAACTTGCATGGCTACAGAAGTTCACATAGGCTCAAATTTGGCTCCAAACAGCCTTTATAAGGAAGCCCTGCACTACTCTTAGGTGTTGGTTGATCTCTGGCTTTCCAGTACCTTGTTCCTTTTTCCTGTGCTATTGTGATCTTTGATTTGCTGATACCGATTTGGCTTGCTCCTGGACCTGTCCACTCTGCTTAACCCCTGATCTGACCTCGGATTGGCTAACGGATATTCCCTCTTTGTATGACCTCGGCTATCCCATCTGACTACGTCTGCTCTGATTTCCACCTGGTACCTGACCTCAGCTTTGAACTGGCTATCCTGTGATCCTCTGTTTCCCGGAAGGCATGCATACCTCGCATAGGCACCACCTGTCTGCAGATCCCAACTCAGTGCATCAGCTGTGACCCTGGGTGGACCACCAACGAACACTCCTACAGGTGACCTGTGCCACTTTGGGCCTGACTCCTTCTGTCCCACTCTCAGGGGAGTCTGGAACTTAGCTGCAAGATAAGCCCTCTCTTCATTGGCCTCTAGTGATTTCCTGTTACCGACTTGGCTTGTTCTTGGACCAATATTCTCTGCCTGGCTCCTGACCTGACCCCGGCTTGGCTAACGGATATTCTCTCCCGCTCCTCTGTGTATGACCCCGGCTACTCTACTGACTATGTCTGCTCCGATCTCCACCCGGCATCTGACCTTGGCTTTGAACCGACTATCCTATGGTCCTCTGTTCCCCTGAAGACCTGTGTACCCCTCACAGGCACCACCTGTCTGCAGACTCCTTTCCAGTGCATCAGCGGTGCTCCTGGGTGGACCTCTGACAAGCACTCCTACAGGGGACCCGTGCTACTTTGGGCCCGACTCCCGCTGTCCCATATCCAGGGGAGTTTGGAACTTAGCCGCAAGGGAAGCCCTCTCTCCCATTGGCCTACATCACCAGGTACGTGATAGTATCAACCAGCCAATATGTCTGAGGCCAAGAGAGGCGCTTCCACATTAGAGGCCCTGTGCCAACAGATGATGGCACTTACACAAGCGGTCAAGGATTTGCAGGAGGGATATTTTCAGCTGGAAGGACGTCTTCACTCGCTTACTACCACTACAACTTCTGCAGACCAAAATCCGTCGCCTAGTCCTATCCCTGCAGTGGCACCAGCCAGTTTGCCTTCTACTGTTACACCCGCTGTGGTTCAAAAACGCCTGTGAGCTGTATTTCGCACTGCAACCAAAGACCTTCTCACTTGAGGCAGTTAAAGTGGGGTTCATCATTTCCCTTCTATCTGATGAACCTCAGTCATGGGCACACAGACTGCTAGAACAAAAGAACCCAGCACTCAACTCAGTGATCACATTTTTTGAAGTCATGGCGGCTCTCTATGATGACTCCCAGTGGATCTCCACTGCTGAATACACCCTTCATGCTCTACAACAATGGTGGAATTCTGCAAATGGTCAGCCAATACCGGG